GTCAATAAAATGATCCGAACGTTTTTACAGTGGCTTAGGAATCGTCTGATCGGTGAATCATAAATTAAATAATGCGGGGACGGCTGCAACAATCATAGGCATGTGATCCTCTCAAAATTGGCTTATAAATAAACTGCACTAAATGCTGTAAATGAATCTGATCTTTAAAAAATATAAACACTGTCATTCAATGGAGAAAGGACAATGCAGAAGACATTGAAGAGCAAATCAAGGCAAAAAAACAGCTGCAGCTTGACTAGCGTAACTCCATTCTGTTATAAATGGGATTGTTTCATTATAAAAATTTTAAATATGTACTGTATTAGTTAATATAAAGCAATGCTTTCTAGTTACTTTAAAATATTAAATAAATTAGGAAATCACCAATGGCAACTTTAATGTAAATAGTTTGGCCCACCATCCTTAATCAAGTTTTTGGCCCTTCATAAGAAAAAGTTTGGGCACCCCTGGTTTATGCCGTTCTATTCTTTTTTACTCTCCATTCTTTCATGTTATCTTTTGTTCTATTACATTATGCAATCTTTTGTTGCATTTTGCTTTATTATTCATGTCTGAATTCTGACATCAGTGTTTTTGTGTACATGTAGTTCTTGGGCAGCCTATTTTTTGATGCATTTGCTTACTCATTTGTCCACTAGTCTGTGTCTCCTCAAATCTTCTTGTATTGTATGTATCTAGCCCTAACTGAAAGCTGTCATGAACATCCGATTGATTGAGGTTTCATTATTTGTCCTGGAATAGACCATGAATCATCACTTCCTTGTGCCTGATGTTCCAGACGAACACCAGGTATATTTATCCGCTGAGGCTTTTGCAAGCTGTATAGAAACAACAACAAAAACAGAACAATTATTGTGCATCAGTTCAAGCTCGTTCCTCAGATTTTGTATTCCGCCCTGGTACAAAATGAGTCCTCAGATCCGGTTCGCTGCACGTGCTGTTTTGTAATGAGCCCATACTGAGAATCAACCTCATTATTTGCAATGGTTGCCACAGAAATAGGTGAGCATAAACTGGCTGATTGGGCCAAATTGTTTATGAGGCATACCATTAATGCTGTTTTGGGAGAACAGGTCTATTTGCCTTTACCAGAAAGGTGAAAGTGAGATTGATATGTATAAAGGGAGGAAATCTGACATGCAGTCTGGACAAACAAATCTAATGTAATTGTTTTTATCAATTGATTCAATTGATTCAAAGAGCACTTGGCTTTGGTATAATGAAACAAAGTTAGTAAACAATAAAGAGGTGTTCATCGTGGTTTTGTAACATGTGTATGGTGCATTTTATAATGTTAAGGTTATTAAAGGGAAGGCTTCTTTGATGAAAGTTTAATAAACCTAATGCTTTGAATTCATGCTTTTTGCAAGTGTAGTTGAATTTGTTTTGATGGTATGGGATGTGAACTGGCCTTTATGTGAACATGAATGCATCATATAAAATCTGTTGTTATATTGCATATTCTCTAACCAGCCATTTTATTAGGACTCGGATTTACCTTTAGAACTCAATGGCTTAGCTTCCACAAGATGTACAGTTGAAGTCCCCTGAATTATAAGCCCCCCTGTTTATTTTTTACCCCAATTTCTGTTTAACAGAGAGCAGGTTTTTTTCAACACATTTCTAAACATAATAGTTTTAATAACTCATCTATAATAACTAAATTTTATCTTTGCCAGGATGACAGTACTGATATTTGAATATATATTTTTCAAGACACTTCTATACAGCTTGAAATGACATTTAAAGGCTTTACTAGGTCAATTAGGTTAACTAGGCAAGTCAGGGTAATTAGGCAACTTATTGTATAATGATGGTTTGTAGACTATCAAATATATATATATATATATATAGCTTAAAGGGGCTAATAATATTGACCTTAAAAGGGCTTCTACTGTATATAATAAAAACTGCTTTTATTCATGCCGAAATAAAACAAATAAGACTTTCTCCAGAAAAAAAATATTATCAGACATGCTGTGAAAATTACCTTGCTCTGTTAAACATCATTTGGAAAATATTTAAAATATAAAAAAATTCAAAGAGGGGCTAATAATTCTGACTTTAATTGTATATTGAATATTTTGCTTCATATCGACATATTAGAACTTATTTTATTCTGTTCGTTCATTTGAAGCCATTTTTTAACAGTGTTAATCAAAATACAGTTTTAGAGTTTTTAGCAAAAATAGATTGACTGGTTAGCACTGTTGCCTTACAGCAAGAAGGTTGCTGGTTCGAGTCCGGGCCAGGAGACATTCTGTGTGGATTTTGCATGTTCTCCCTGTGTTGGCAAGGGTTTCCTCCTGGTGCTCCGGTTTTCCCCCACAGTCTAAAGACATGCACTTTATGTGAATTGGATGAAGTAAATTAGCCGTAGTGAGTGTATGTGTGTGAATATGAGAGTGTATGTTTTGCAGTACTGGGTTGTTGCTGGAAGGGCATCCGCTGTGTAAAATATATGCTGGAATAGTTGGTGGTTCATTCCATTGTGGTCACCCCTGATAAATAAGGGACTAAGCCGAAGATAAAAAAAAGAAGAAAGTAAGAAAATTGTAAAACTTCAATATAATCTGTCTCCAGTATGCATTTTCTCGCCATGAAAATGGCCAAAGCAGCTGGCACGGCGATAAACACAAACAAACACATATTTTTATATTGACACTCAATAATTCAACTTGAGCTGAAAATTCGCTTGAGGTAAAAAAAAACTTTGCAATTTTTTGTTTCGGATCATTGGTTCGGAGATCATATTAGCAAGGTCATGTGATTTCAGAAAATGTGGCTTTGATACACCATTAGGGGAGAGCGAGGCACAAAGTAACACTTTTTAGTTTTGGTCAAATAATGAACAAAGTAATGGGGTTAGACAAACTATATATATATTTTTTTTTTACCAGCAACACACAAGCCTCTTCTACAAATGAGCATTGAAATTATGATCACCGGACCTATTGACCTTCTGTGCAGTATTGCCAAAAGTGCCAGGAAGAAAAATGTTACGATTTACTCCACCTGCGGAGCAAGTTGTAATAGACAGAGGCTTCATGCTTAAAAAGGCAGATTACACACAATTCATTTAAATTCAGTTTACTTTAAATAGTAGCTATATTTCCTCAGTAACTGGCTCATTTCTTTTAATTCTACGTAGCACAGTATGTTTATCTATTTGTTTATTGGATAAACACATTTGAATCTATTTGCATTATTATCCATTTATCCATTATTATACAATGCATTTCTTTGCATTATTAGCAATAAAATATATTTTTTCTATTAAAATTTTTTATCAAAAAGAAATTCTATTTAAAAAGTTCTCAACATTACACTCAAAATAAAAAAAATAAAAATAAATAAAAATAAATAAATAAATGTGTTAGTTTGACTGGTGTCCTTTTTCCTCAAAACTATAGCAGTCACTGTGTGTTTTTTACATCTTTCAAAATGGTTCCATCTTTTTCCATATTGAGTATAATAAAAATACGTTTATTATTACTTTATAATAATCTCTCATTCTTGGTAGATGCTCTAACTGCTTTCTGTTAAAAAAACTGTTAACTGTTTACTGTTTGCTTGTGAAATGCTCAGATTTCCACTTACACTTACTTTACGTCATGTAAATAGCAAATGCGCAACGCTCTTAAAGGGAATGGGAGATGAGACTCTGATTGGTTTATTCTCAAAAACACATATAACTCATTAAGAAAATAAACTCAACCCTTTTAGACCATGCGCCACGGCGCAAAGCGGATTTTCCCGTCCTTAAATAAGCAAAAATGCATTCTGACATGCCTTGAAAGTGTTTGCGCCTCCGTTTTGCGCTTTGCGCATGGACCATCAAAATAAAGCCCATACACTATAGCCAATTTAGTTTATTCAATTTACCTATAGTGCATGACTTTGGACTGTGAGGAAAACCAGAGCACCCAGAGGAAACTCCCACCAAAACGGGGAGAACATGCTAACTCCACACAGAAATGCCAACTGACACAGCTGGGACTCGAACCAGCAACCTTCTTTCTGTGAGGCGACATTGCTAACCACTGAGCCACCGTGTCATCAATATTTATTCATTCATTCATTCATTTTCTTTTCGGCTTATTCCCTTTATTAATCTGGGGTCGCCCTAGCGGCAACATATGTTTTATGCAGCGGATTCCCTTCCAGCTGCAACCCATCTCTGGAAATCACCGATATTTAAATAAATATAAGTGATTTCATTTAAATAAGTGTATATTTTACACACATTTAGCTACACAATAAATAGATGGATTGATGGGCTTAAAAATCTGTGTAAATCTGTTTCCTGTGTATTTCTGCGGGCACAGATTCAGAGTGGGCACAGAAACATAGAAACTATGCAAGTATGTAAAACCCAGTCCAGTTTGACAGCATCGTTCTTTGCCTCTGATTCATGTTTTCCACACACCAGTCGCATTTACTCACCCGAGTTTGTCGTCCGATAATCACACACATAATTAACTGCTGATCTGATAAAGTCCTAAAAAATCTGTTTTCCATCCCCAAAATAACAGGATGATGCATTCTCACTCGCCACATGTCGAATTATGTCAGGCTGTTACAGCGTAAATCGACAGATGGCAAGGGAGCTTGATATTCAGGATCACAAACACAGAACGACATCGATATCTGAGCCTGATATTACCTAATGCATTCTGAAAGCAATCATATGAGTGGCCGGATCTCTGAATCACAGCATAATCAAAGCTTCAGAGAGCTTTATTTGTGCTCGAGATGCTTCAGAAAGCTCCATGTTATCCACTCGGCAGCACTTTTACCGTACAGAAACATCTTCGCTCGGTGTTTTGCTGAGAGATTTTTTTACAGTCACCCACACAGACGCTGCTGCATCTATGGTATGGCATGTTTATGAGTGAGACTCCTCCCTGTGTGTCAGTAATGACGTCAGGTGTGCGCAGAAACACACTTCATACATCGTCTGCTGCTCTCCCACACTCATTCATACCCCAGCAGCTTCACACTAGACACTATGAGCGCAGGAGGAATTGCACTCTGCTCAGGCGGTCTGCTGCATGCTTTCGCAGGTAGGAGAAACCGCGCTTGTGCTGCAAATTGCTAATGATGAGAGTGTTTTTCTAGCTTGTGTTGAAGAATTATTATTTTTATTTCTCAAATTGTTGTTTAATATTTTTGCAGATGCGGAGAAATTTGATCTGTCTATCTCTATATAATCTTACAATAAATATATTAAAAATAAACAAAAAAAATATTACTTGTTATTTTAATAAATAAGATTTTAATTAGGTATAAAATTATTAGATTAAAAAAATTGTATATTTTATTCTTTTATAAAAAAAAAGTTTCATAATAATTATTTGCAGTGTTTGTTTCCTAATGTACTTTTAATATATGATTTCTATTTGGATCATTCGGTTGGCACGGATACACATGTACATGCAGTTTTTCCTTTTCACATTGTTAATTGAAGGGTTAATAATTATGCAGATGTGGAAAAATGTGATCATCTATCTCTGTACAATCTCACAATAAATGTTTGCAAATTGTTATATTATTATTATTATTAAAATTATTATTTAAAATTAATTGTATATGTGTATGTTATTATTAAATTATTATTTAAAATATATTGTATACCTGTATGTTATTCATTTATTTAAAAAAACAAAATAAAAACTTTTGCATAGTAATTATTTGCAGTGTTTGTTTCCCTAATGTATTAATAATAATTGATTTCTATTTGGATCATTCAGTTTGCATTGATACATACAGTTGAAGTCAGAATTCCCCATGAATGATTAACCCACTGTTGTTTTCCCTTAATTTCTGTTTAATGGAGAGAAGATTTTTCTAATCATAATAGTTTTAATACTCATTTCTAATAACTGATTTATTTTATCTTTGCCATGATGACAGTAAATAATATTGTACTAGATATTTTTCAAGACACTTCTAAACAGCTTAATGTGACATTTAAAGGCTTAACTAGGTTAATTAGGTTAACTAGGCAGGCTAGGGTAATTAGGCAAGTTATTGTACTGTATAACGATGGTTTGTTCTGTAGACTATCAAAACAACAAAAAAAACTTAAAGGGGCTAATAATATTGACCTTAAAATGGTGTTTAAAAAATGTAAAACGTATTGTAGCCGAAATAAAACAAGACTTTCTCCAGAAGAAATAATATTATCAGACATACTGTGAAAGTTTCCTTGCTCTGTTAAACATCATTTGGGAAATATTTAAAAAGAAAAAAAAAATCAGTGTGGGGCTAATAATTCTGACTTTAACTGTATATGTAATGTTTATTTTACACTATTGATTAAAGGGTTAATGTTTAGGCAGATAAGAAGAAATGTGAAAATCTGTTTATCTGTCTTTGTATAACCTATAAATAAATGTTTGCAAATAATAATAATAATAATTATTATTATTATTTAAATAAATCTGATTTTAATTAGGTATTATTAATTTAATATAGAACATAAAATTCATATGTTTTTCTTTTATTAAAAAAAAAACTGTTGCATAATAATTATTTGCAGAGTTTGTTTCCTAATGTATTAATAATGATTATTAATTGGATCATTTGGTTGGCACTGATACATATGTTCATGTAATTTTTATTTTCATATTGTTGATTAAAGGATTACTTTTTATGCAGATGTGGGGAAATGTGATAGGCTGTCTGTCTGATTTTTTTATCAGTAATCTAAAAATAAATGTTTGCAAAAAAATATTATTATTATTATTATTATTATTTGTTATTTAAATAAATATGATTTTAATTAGGTAATAAATTATATCAAATATGTTGCATATTTGTTTAAAATTATTTAATTATTTAAAATAAATTGTATACGTGTATGTTATTCATTTATTTAAAAAAAAAAAAACAGTTGCATAATAATTATTTGCAGTGTTTATTTCCCTATGGTATTAATAATGATTAATTTCTATTTGGATCATTCAGTTTGCATTGATACATATGTATATGTACATGTATATGTTTAATACCTTATGTTCTTATAATTAATTTAAAGAGAAGAAAATGCCTTGAGATGCAGCTTTTAAGGCTGTATATGTATATATAAAAATGTTTGTGTGTGTGTGTGTGTGTGTGTGTATAGAGATAGATAGATAGATAGATAGATAGATAGATAGATAGATAGATAGATAGATAGATAGATAGATAGATAGATAGATAGATAGATCGATAGATAGATAGATAGATAGATAGATAGATAAATAGATATTAATTTTAATTTTAATATATTTTTGTACTTTTTGTTTTCTAATTGTAGTCATTTCTATCTGCATTGTCTTCTATTATTCAGTTTGTATTATTGATTTCTTTATTCCTACATTGCTTGTATTTGTGTAAAATGCTTTGAGAAGCAGCTTTCAGAGAATACTGTACGTGTTTATAATTTCCTGGGCGAAAAGTGCAATTCAGTGTAAATTTAATATAAAAATATCTCAATTTCTTGATGCGTCATTTTTGGCTTGAAATATGACTAGAGCACTCTCAGTAAAATCTTTGACATTTACCAACTTGTCGTCCAGCGGATGTGAAGTAGCTGTGAGTTGTGCTCTTGTGTGTTTCAGCTAATGGAACAGCAGGCAGTCAGCTGTCCACGCCACGCTCAGGAAAATCTCCCAGTCCATCTCCAACCAGTCCAGCCAGTCTGAGAAGAAGAAGGGTGAGAGACATTCACATCTTCTGCATATTCTGTAAAGCCTTAAAAAACAACACGCGGTTAGACTAAGTGTTGTTGACTTTTTTTTATTTTAGCTTGTTTATACAGTTGAAGTCAGAATTGATTTCTTTCATCTTTGATATGATGACAGTACATAATGTTTGACTAGATATTTTTCAAGATACTAGTATTCAGCTTAAAGTACAGTTTAAAGGCTTAACTATGTTAACTAGGCAAGTTAGGGTAATTAGATTATCATTGTATAACAGTGGTTTGTTCTGTAGACAGTCAAAAAAAAAAAAAACAAAAAAAAAAAAAATATATATATATATATATATATATATATATATATATATATATATATATATATATATATATATATATTGTTTAGGAGGGCTAATAATATCGACCTTAAAATGGTTTAAAAAAATAAAAACTGCTTTAATTATAGCCAGACTAAAAGAAACAAGACTTTCTTGTGAATTTTTAGGATATACTGTGGAAAAATAGTAATGCTCAGTAAACATCATTTGGAAAATATTTTAAAAAGAAATTCACCGGAGCTAATAATTTTGACTTCAAATGTTTAATTTTCACTGCATCAAGCAAACCAAATCAAAGACTTTCATCCTTCTGATGGGTCATAATTGTATTTTAGGTGCTTTAATTTGTGAATGCAATGCTCAAACACACATGAACACATCCTACTGAATAATTGCATGTTCATCCGAAATGTTTCCTAGCAACATCAGACGAGCTTCTTGACCTGCTGTGTGTTGCTTCACTAGCTCAGTGATAGACAGTGACACTCAGTGATAGACTTAAAATCCTATATGCTTCTACAACATTACCATGATTGTCTGCTCTGCTAACTCTATTGTGTATGTGCTTGCATGTTACAAGTGCACTTGGATGTTGTGTTCACACAATGATAGATGTTTAAAAACAAATTTAATGCATGCTAATAAATACAGCAGTTTTATATTCTAAATTTAATAATAGTCAATAGACATCTGTCATTTTTATGTCATATTATGTTCTATTTATACAAGCTTTGCTTTTAACTGAATATTCCGTTTTTTAATGACAGGAATAAATTCCATAGAAATGCATTTTAAAATGTAAAACTTTTATTTTACAATTAAGCAATATAACTACACTCAAATATTTCAGCTCCTTATTTAAACTACTTATTTAAAATGAGCTGAAACAACACAACTCTTGAGTTTTTTTGGGACAGCTTAATTGTTTTATGTTCAATCAACTTAAAATTGTTAAAACCATTAAGTTAACTCCGATTTGCATTGGGATGACATGAAGGGATTGTGTGGAATGCTGCATTTTTACGGTGTAGTTTGGATTAAATAAATGCAGCTTTTGTAAACATACTTTAAGGATATTAAATAAGAAAAAAGATCCAATGCAAAATTATTCAATAAATTATTCAACAAATGTCAAAAAAGCCTTTTTAATTTGATATACACAACTGGTCTGGTAAAATATGTATTCTTTCCCACTTGATCTTGTGTTGAAATAAATAAGTGATGGTGTCAGTGAACGAAAGATCTCAGTTTCACCTCACCTGCTCTGCTCCAGTCCAAAATATTCTTACTGAACTAAATCTGTTTCCATAGAAACTGACCTTTTGTTTCCTCTGTAATACCTCTGCTCATTTTAACATGAAGCTCTTGATACAGACTACATTGAACATAGGAACTTATATAATCATTTGTTAAAAATCAAGTCTCTGCAGTCAAAAACACTACTGTCCTGGCCGTTTTGTGATTTTAGGCTTTTCATAAAGTGTTACTTTCTAAATCTAATGAAAAAGAAAATAAATTTCAAAAAACATATTTAAGGGTGTCTTTTATAGAAGTTTCAATATTTAACAAATATTTCTAAAGTCATAAATCTTCACTTCAGCAACACTCACATACACTAAACTTCATATTCATATCTATATTCTATAGGTTTTGACAGAGGGATTTGTCCATACAAACAGTATTTTACCACAATATTTACAGCATTTTATTTGACATGCTGTCTCCTCAGTAAAAACATTAGGCTCTGATTTGACAAAAAAAAAGAAAAACAAAAGAAGAGAAGAGAAGCAAGAATTTTATCCTAGAGTTAGGATATCTGTGATAATTATTTATGCATAATTATTTAAATAATGTCAGATTGGCATATTTAAACAGAGTTTTAGAAAACTGGTTACACACACACACACACACACACACACACACACACACACTCAAAAAAAAAATGTTTGCGATTCTTAATGTAATTAACCAACTTTGTAAATATGGTGATAAATATTAGTTAATTTTTACCCTATTCACCTGCAGTGTCTTGCCTTAAAATATAATGACGATAGTGTACATGTACTTTATATCAACATACTCCATCAATTAAAAGCTGTAATATGTGTGTCTCTCATGTTGAACTCACTAACAGGGCTCTCAGCACAGTGGCTCATCTTTGTCTCTGGCCTCCACCAAAGTGTGCAGCTCCATGGATGAGGGCGACGGGCCAGGCAGTGAAGGTGAGGAACCCTGGAGTTCTGACAAATAATTATAATTTATGTTTTATAATTGGAATATTTCATCTCACACACAAAAAAATTGCGTTTGCTGTTTAAAAACTACTTATTTAAAATGAACCGAAATGACATAATTCTTGAGTTTTTTTTACTTAACGTAATTGTTTTATGTTCAATCCACTTAAATTTGTTAAAACTAATAAGTTAACTTAATTCCGTCGTGTTGCCCCAGCACAAATCGATTGTGTGGAACCCAGAGTTTGTTTTACAGTGCATCTCTTTCATTCTAGCTGAGCTGACGGAGGATTGTCCTCAGGTTCCTGCTTCCATTGCTGAGAGGTACAAGGTGGGACGGATGATCGGTGACGGGAACTTTGCCGTGGTACGCGAGTGTGTGGAGAGATCCAGCGGCCGAGAGTATGCTCTAAAGATCATCAACAAAAGCAAATGCAGAGGGAAGGTGAGATCATGCTTGAAGAATTTTTCACACCAAAAGTAAAATTTGCTAGCAGTTTTTTCAACCTTAAGCTGCCCAAGATGTAGGTTCTTTTCCAGTAGAACAATAAAGAATATTTTTAGCGGAAACTCATAAAATGCATGTCAGTGGTTGATATTTTGAGAGTCAAAAAAACTAAACATAATATACAAACAAAACAAAATGATTACTCATGGTTTGTGATGATCAGGGCCGGATTAACGTAAGGGCTAGGTGGGACTGAAGCCCCAGGGCCCACGGAAGAAGGGGGCCCTTAATTGGCTGAAGAATTAATTTGCGCTATGAAACGCCTCTTTGCGTTATGCTTTCTCTTGTCGATAATATGAAGTATTCCTTTCGGTTCACTGCTGTTCAAAAACAGTGATATTGGTGCTAAACTGAAACTCAGAGTGGCTGTAGCCCAATTAGAATATTAATTAGCCCTGTTTTAGTCAGGTGATCAGATGTCCCAATTTTACCAGGACAGTCCCTTATTTCTGCACTACGGTGAGAACCGTCCAGTCAAAGATAGGATATTCAAGTTCGTCTGGAACAAAAAATAAGATTCAAAAAGTCTTTATCATTGATACACTTGCACATGTAGTAACAGAAGCTGGGATAGGTTAAATCATACTGAATGGACTCATAGCTGAAGCGATGTCTCAGCCACGTGGCGGTTACAGCTGGAGTCAAACCGGCGCGCGCCCACAAAATCCTTTGTGGACAGAGACAGAGTACGAACAAATCAAATAGCCTGCACAAGCAGTTACATACATATATATTACATACGGAATACATATATATATATATATATTTTTTTTTTCCAATTCAATTCACCTTTATTTCAGGATTATCTGTATTTGTCTGTGCTCACAGGAACACATGATCCAGAATGAGGTGTCGATTCTTCGGAAAGTGAAGCATCCTAATATTGTTCTGCTGATTGAAGAAATGGACACATACAGTGAGCTCTACATGGTCATGGAGTTGGTCAAGGTGAAACAGTTGACCTTTATACAGACAATCATGACTGTAGTTACTTTGACCCTATAATTCAATTTATGAAAACCCCAAAAATATTCCTGTATGGGTTTTGTAAGGGTTAGGTTATGGCAAGGTTGATTATTTCAAGCATGATATGATTTACAGTAATTGAGCACAGTGCCATTTTCCATTATTCAGTGCATTAGTGTGATATGAGCAGAAGACCAGGCTTAAACCAGCCAAAGTACAACGACAAATATGTTTAACTATTGTTTCGATTTTCATCCATGTTTAAGACTGAATTAAGGACTGCAAAAGAATGAAGCTTTGTAAATGGCATTAAAATAGACTTATACTTTAAATTGTCATGAGATCTTATAATATTGGTACTGGGTTTTTCAAGACTTGCTCATTGAAAATATGTGCTTCAGTCCTTATTATTGTGAATCTGCAAAAATATTTTTCAACATATGTTTAACTGCCGATCGGAAATACACACAGTTGAAGTCTAAAAGATTAGGTCCCCGTTTATTTTTTCCCCAATTTCAGTTTAACGGAGAGAAGATTTTGTTTCAACACATTTCTAAACAAAATAGTTTTAATAATTTATTTCTAATAACTGATTTATTTTATCTTTGCCATTAGGACAGTAAATAATATTTAATAAGACACTTCTAAACAGCTTAAAGTGACATTCAGAGACTTCACTAGGGTAATTAGGCAAGTTATGGTAATTAGGCAAGTCATTGTATAAAGATGGTTTGTTCTGTAGATTATTGAAAAAAAATAGCTCAAAGGGGCTAATAATTTTGTTGTTAAAATGTTTTTTAAAAAAAATTAAAACTACTTTTATTCTAGCCGAAATAACACAAATAAGACTTTCTCCAGAAGAAAAAAAAACATTATCAGACATACTGTGAAAATTCCCTTGCTCTGTTAAACACTGTTTAGAAAATATTTAAAAAAGAAAAAAAATCAAAGGAGGGCCAATAATTCTGACTTCAACTGTACCTCAGCCTGCATTTTTGCCAAAAAAAATAAAAATTGCTTTGCTTCGGGTACATTCCGTTACATGTTTCAGATGACAAATCCACAAGAGGGTGCTGGCTAAATCTTTAAGTTTTTATGTTTATGCAAGCTAGTATGATGCCAACAATTATGTATTGATGAATAATTGATTCTTTTTCTGAAGTTCTTTGCACAAAACCAAATAAATATTATTAAACTTATTGGCATTACATTTGCCTCACTTATGGACTTCCATTTGGAGACTTTTCATCCACTTTTTTGGTGTGGTCGGTTTGCTCAGTAGCTTAGTGCTCGGGCAGAGTGCTCTGGTTCAGTTCCAAAAAATGAAATTAAATCAATGTAAAATCAAGGTAAAATTATGTGGGCACAGTGCATGTTCTCTCTAATGTTTGCTTTTCAAAACACTATTGGTTGGGTTTTGGAAAGGGTTTAAGTCTAATTTGTACGACAAGCCCTGCCGCATCTCGTACAAAGACATGTATCTGATATGTACACTAAAACTTTTTTAGATTTGCAAAAATATTGCCAGCGCCCTCTAGTGGACTTGTCATCTGAAACATGCAAGGGAATGAACCTAAAGCAATGTAATTAACATTCTGCAAAAATGCAGGCCGAGCTATGTATTTTCAATTTACCTGGGCAGGTACTTTTGATTAGATTAATGCTGTCTTGATGAGCACAATCTACCACAGCAGAAAACAGATACAGAGTATAGGATTGACCATTTTAATTGATCTAGATGTTTCTGTGAAAGAGCAATCGATGTATGTGTGCATATACAGGGTGGTGATCTCTTTGATGCCATCACCTCCTCCAACAAATACACGGAGCGGGATGCCAGTGGGATGCTGTATAACCTGGTCAGCGCTATCAAATATCTACACAGCCTTAACATTGTTCACCGGGACATCAAACCTGAGAATCTCCTGGTGGGTGTTGCAGGAATACAGACAGAATTCTTTCACTATAAATCACACTATCAAAGTGTTACTTTCACAAATATACTGTAGCTTAGATTGACAATCACATTTGGGAGAAGCTGATTCCATGTTTTTAACATTGAATAAACTTTCTTAACGAAGCTTTAAAACATTATTAAGTGTCTTCAACAATAGTCTGAAAAACAAAAGAGCTTGTATGAAGACAATTGTTTCCTATCACACAATACATATCCTGTGAGTTGTGTAAAGCTTTTGACAGATAAGATTAATTCATACTGAAAATTGACTTTAAAGAAATTATGAATCTTTTTTTTAACCCGTTTCAACTAAAACAAATCGATCTCATTTGAACTTTTAACTTAAATTGTTACATTTTAATTATAATTAACTCAATTCTGATTTATATTAAATAATTATAATGTTTGTATTGAATACGTTGAGGAATTAGTATACACATATACTGTACATGCAAACATATGACTGAAACTATGTAAAAAAATACAGACATGAACCTAAAGATCTTTGATGATTATGACTCTAAATAGCAAGAGATTGAATAGATTGAATTTGTGTTACAGGTCTTTGAGCACCAGGATGGGAGCAAGTCTTTGAAACTGGGGGATTTTGGCTTGGCAACAATTGTGGACGGTCCGCTTTACACTATCTGTGGCACCCCAACCTATGTAGCTCCAGAGATCATTGCAGAGACTGGGTAAATCATATGCTATTCAAATATAGTAGTATTTACAGGAGAGTATATGAAAATCAGAGTAGTAAGGCAGCCACACATTACAACTCTTACCATAAAGATAACAGAGGAATGATGTAGTTTTAATAATATTAAGATTTACTTTTTAGGCTGATGACTGATTAAAACATTGACAGCCAATCAGAATCTTTCCAGCTTTAAAGAGCTTGAGCACTTAAAGTGACTGAAAACAATAATTGCAGAGTGCTTTGATTAAACAGAGCATGTTTATGAGTGGATTCTTTCTAGTTATCGTTCTTGGTGTGAATGGGCCATACCCATGGATTGTAATCTGACATCATTGTATGTTTTTCGCTCAATATTACAGGTATGGCTTGAAGGTTGATATCTGGGCGGCAGGGGTTATAACATATATACTGCTTTGTGGCTTCCCTCCGTTTCGTGGGTAAGTGCAACATTACTGTAAGTTAAGCATGCAATTTTATGGGCTTATTATGGATTTAATTTAGACAACTTTATATGTTGGAAAAACATCTCTTATGCTCACAAAAACTGAAATAACTAAAATTACAGTTTTCTTTTTTAATACAATAGTAATTTAGTGTTTAATTCCTAGGTTGAAAAAGTCATTTTTGTTTAACATGACACCAGTCTTCAGTGTCATGATTCTTCAGATATAATTTCCATTTATAATTGATGTTGAATACAGTCGTGCTGACTACTTTCACATGACTTTTTCTAATTATTATTAATTGCTCACAATAATAACCGAGCAGCAACTGTTTATTAAATATATTAAAACTGAAAAAAGGTACTTTAATATTTAAAAGCTGCAAAAAATCTTCAAATATCGTCAAATATTTCGCCAAACAGATCAGCCACTTTTGACGCTCATAAACAATCATAAAGTCCTCGTGCAGCCGAAATTAGGACGTTTGCTAAAGGTGCAGCTGTCGTGCAGTGAGGTGTTTGCGTCTTTAATAATCTACGACAGTTTGCTTTCATGAACAGTAAGAATGATTAATAAATTCATATCAAACAGTCCTTTAAAAGTTACGTCTGGTCTTTAGTTTCAGGCTAAGGCGTGCTTTGCATTCACACTACAAGCACACCGCACCTGAGCCCAAGTGAACCACGCTCAGGCACACCTCTTCCTAGCGGGTCAGGGCCGGCCAACTGAACTGTGCCTAAGCCCGATTCAGACACAATTCTCAAAACAATCCAGGAAATGGGCCTGGGCACGGTTTGCATAGCATAGTGTGAGTGCACCCTTATACAGGGCTAAACTCAAATGATTTTTTCTAATGCCCAGTTGGGCCAAATGTAACTATTTTTAGCAACATACTTTAATGTGTCAAAGCAAGAAAACTTTATTTGTATACGCGTTTTTCCACATATTTTAGTTTTGACAAAAAAAAATGACTAATTTAACATTGTTAAAAGTATATGTATCGTGGAGACAATTACAGTAATAATTGAATATAAATATTTGTTGGCTTTTGGTCCAAATTGATTGATTATAACTTCTATTCAACCTTCTGTAATAAGTCCTTAAGTTTCATGCCTATTTATAAATATTATGTCTACTACCTCTCACTTACCTAAAATATTTCTCACAGCTATTGTAAATTGCATCTCTTTGCAATAAAAAAACTTAAACATACACTTAAAAATATATATATGAAGGTATTATTAAGTAGGATTGTTGGTGATTGTAGTGATGCCAGCCTGATTGTGTAGCTTTACTTGGGCAGAGGAAAATTATGAGCTCTTAAAAAATTATTTAACACACATAACACAATATTTCCGTGAATTTAAGACTTTTTAAGGCCTAAAGTTTTAGGACACCGTTTCCTCTGTAATGCCTTACTCCCTCTAGTGGCTCTGTTCAATATTGCTTCTGAGCACATGCTGCTGTACATTCAGTTCTTTTAGCAATAGCATATGAAATATTCATCATGAAAATGAACATACCATTTGTATATCTGTTTTTTTAAGGAGCACAGATGACCAGGAGGCTCTTTTTGACCAGATTCAGATGGGACAGCTGGACTTCCCTGCTCAGTATTGGGACAATGTGTCTGACTCTGCAAAGGCCAGTATGCAAAAAGAAAGTTCTGGAAAGAAAAAACAAAACAAAAAAAATAAAATCTCACTCTCTTTCTGCCTTACATTCTCTCTCTACAGGCTCTTATTACCGGCATGCTGCAGGTAGAGGTGGAGCAGAGATACACAGCTCTACAGGTGCTGGACCATCCCTGGGTCAATGTAAGACTTCTTCTGTTTATATCTTGTTTTTGGCATCACTAAGAAACCTGAAGAACCTCCAATATTCACAGAAACTTTACATTCCACACTGTATACAAGCGATTAGTTAATGTACCTTGAATTTACTTAAAGTGAGTAAACCCATTGTAACTTGCAACTGTTATGTTGACTTATTTTTTTATGATAATGCACATATTTTATTTACTTAATAATTGTAAGGCAACATTTTTACTCTTTTTTTTTTCAAAGTAAAAGCCAGTTTATTCAAGTAAAATTAACAAATCATTTTTTTTTTTACAGTACACAACAGGTTCATTAGATTTTTAAACCGTTCTTCACACAAATGTAATTTAAACAGCCGTTACTTTTAGGAACTCATTATTTCAAAGGAACTCAAAATGATTATTCTGTGGATTCACTGTATTTGTTAAATCTTTACATTTATGAGTTTATTCTGAAACTGTTAGGACTGACACATGGCGGTTATGTTTCTGCTCTGTTTCAGGATGACAGGCTGTGTGAGAATGAGCACCAGTTGTCTGTGGCTGGCAAGATTAAGAAACATTTCAACATGAGCCTAAAGCCCAACAACACCACCGCAGGAGCCACTATCATAGCAGTAAGAGTCAAATATATATGTCTTATTATTTATTATCCATATTACTTAAAGCCAATATTCTCCACTCAAGCAGTGGTGCACAGACAATGGCTTCATAATCAGACTTAAAGGGAAAGTTCACCAAAAGATGAACATTTACTCTCTATTTACTCACTCTCAAATACTTCCATAGATTCTTCATTCAGTTGAAGACAAAATAAGATATTTTGAAAAATGTTGAAAACCTGTAAACATTGACTTCCATAGTAGGAAAAATGGTCACACTTGATTTTGATGGACTGTTTGTTACATTGCATCTACATGTCAACTAATTCTCATTAGATTATGAGTAGACTGTTAGGTCGGGGTTTGGGTTAGTGTAAGTTGACATGTATTTGCAAATTTTCTTATAGTCAGTTAA